ACCAAAACATTTCCCATAGCGATTACACGTAAACGGAAAATGAAATTCTCAAATCCTACTTTGCAAGTGGAATATGAGCATGATCCCGGCATCTGATCGAAAAATGAAGGGCACACTTGTGATAGCTTATTGTCTCAGCTACAACATACTCAAAGCTCAGCGTAAACAAAGATAAAACGACGGAGATATTGCTCGCCAAAGACGAGAATGTAGAATCCAGTTTTGAGAAAAAGTCATGTCCCATAGAGAATACACGCAAAATGTGAAAAATTGACATGCCTCCTTTAATCGCAAAAATACGCCATGATGCTTTTGTCAAAATGAAATATTGTTGTGACCGCATTTGTAGATAATATTCTCAGGTAGAACATATCAAAATTTGGAAGTATATCGATCAACATTTACAGAGATACAATCAATTTTCCAAAAAAATGATGACGTCATAATATGCAAATTGAAATTTTGAGTTCGGAGGCCATTATGATGACGTCATGAGTTAATTGAGGGTCAAATGAGACATGAAATCATATCTCCGATTCATACTCTATCAAAATATGAATAAAAACTTGGGGTCACCTTGCATCCTAAAGCGCTACAATGGATTTTGTATAGGCATGTTTTTGCCCATGTATGCTATTACAAGAGCTCGTACGCACGGTAATTATCTTAAACGGACGCTCATTCCGTTATTAATGGGCAGAAAAAGGTGAACAAGGTATCACAATGCTTGGAAAAATGTGCCAAATATGATGAGACAGAAAATTTGGCGATTCTATGTTGGAAAATGCCATTACGTGCGAAAACGCGCGCGCATGCGCGTGTGCGCGTTTTTTTGCGAAATGCTTATAATGGCCTGAAACGTATGCAAAATGAATTTGAGACGATTTTGAGCATTTTTATTTTTTGCGCGCGCGCTGACGCGCGGACGTACGCATGCGCGCGCGTTTTTTGACCTGAAATTGACCGGACGAATATTGACCTTAATCATGATAAATATGAATGAGAAATGCCTATCCGTTATGAAGATATGATCATGAGTAAAAAGTACCAAAAAAAACACAAAATGGCGCCTGGATGACGTCATGAAGATTTGATGACCTTGAAAATGTTACTGTCACGTCTCATGACAATGACCTATAACTGTGTCAAAATTGAACGAAATTGATTTAACCGATCTTGAGTTATCCTCTACACTAAAAAGTGCGGAAAATAAAAATAAATAATAACTAGAAATTTAATTCGTCACGAAGACGAATAAGGTGGTCTGTCTTCAATTCTTATGATCAAGCTCATCTTCAATTGAATTACCCAATAAACTGATGTTAATGTAAAATGATGTATTAAGATATGAATTAATTAATGAATTACTGATGAACTGATGAACTGATAGATTTAACTTATGTGAAATGAACTGAATCAATGAGCTAAAAGGATAAACTGATCAACTGAACTAAACTGATGAGCTGAACTGATGAGCTGAACTGATGAACGAAATATTGAGAAATTATCATGATGAATGCATAATGATCATGATCAAATTTAATGCAAACAAATATCAAAATAACTAGTCCTAATGAATATGACACAAAGTATTATAAAAATGAACTACTTGATCATGATCATGATTGTCATGATGACGATATTGATAATCCTGATGATGATGATACTGGTCATGATGATGATGATAATGGTGATGATGATGACGATGATGATGATGATGATGAAAATGATGATGATTATGATGATCATGATGATGTTGATGGAATGATTATCATCATTAAGACAATGATGATGATCATGAGCGTGATCCTCGAATCTTATTGGAAGAATGTGGGGTGATTTGGATAACATATAGCCTCAGCTACAACATACTCGAAAATCAACATAATCCAAGCAGAAATAATGTCGATATATTGCTCGCAAAAGACAGGAATGTAGAATCCAGATTTTAGAAAAAGTCATGTCCCATAGAGAATACACGCAAAATGTGAAATATTGACATGCCTCCTTTAATCGCAAAAATACGCCATGATGCTTTTGTCAAAATGAAAAATCGTGGCAACGACATTTGTTGAAAATTGTCTCAGCTAAAACATATCAAAATTTGGAAGAAAATTGATCAACATTTACAGAGATACAATCAATTTTCCAAAAATATGCTGACGAATTTTCGATACACTGCAATCAGTTTGCCTAGGGTGTGATTGTTACGTCACAATGGAGTTCGGGCATAGTGCGCATTTTGTTATACACGTAATATACATTGTCATTGTCACCAGCAGCTGGTGCGCGATGAAATGTACAACTGGGTCAATTATTGCTCACTAGTTTCACACGCATTTTGCCGTTGACTTTTCAGATCGAGCCATAATATTTTTTTCTATACAGTTAATAATGTATTCCGTATAGGCATGTTTTTGCCCATATATGCTATGTATTACAAGAGCTCGCACGCACAGACATTTACCTTAAACTGACGCTCATTTCGTTATTAATGGTCATAAAGAGATAAACATGGTATCAAATTGTTCGGAATAAAATGGGCAATACTATGATAGACATAAAAGGCGATTCTAGGTTGCGTAAGACCATTACGAACACAAACGTGCGCGCAAATTTATGCGCGCGCAAAGGTGTGCCCACGCAAAATTTTCGAAATGCTTGAAATGGCCTAAAACGTACTCTAATTTGATCAAAAAGTGATTATGAGCATTTTTTAATTTTGCGCGCACCAACGTTCGGACGGACGCGTACGCGCGCGTTTTTTGACCTTAAGTTGACCGGATGGATATTGACCTTAATCGTTATAAATATGAATGATAAATGATTTACGGTTATGAAGATATGATCATGAGTTGATTCTCAGAGCACTTCACAAAATGGCGCCTGGATGACGTCACGATATTTAAATGAACTTGAAAATGTTCCTGTCACGTCTTAAGACGATGACCTATGACTGTGTCAAATTTAATTGAATTTGCACGGTTCAATTTTGAGTAATCGTGGGAACAAAAAAGTGGTCACAGATTTATTTTAATTGAATTGTGTTTTTGTACAAATTCAATTAAAATACTAGATTTTAAATCGTCACGAGGACGATTAAGGTGGTCTGTTTTCAAGTCTTATGATAGATTATAATATTTTGTATATTGAGAAAGGGAGAAGTTATATAGACATGTAAAGAATGATCATCATCATGATGATCATGATGATGATGATCTTGATAGTGATGATGATGACGATCGATGATGATGATGATGATCATGATGATGTTGATGATTATCATCAACAGCTAGACCATGATGACAGACTGAAAAAAATGAGAGAACATTTAGATAGTATATAGTCTCAGCTTCAACATACTCAAAAATCAACAAAAATCAAGCCAAAATAAAGGCGATATTGCTCGCAAAAGACAAGAATGTAGAGATTTTGAGACAAAGTCATCTCCCATAAGGATTACACGCAAAAAGTAATGGATCAAGTGATAATAGGGTAATAATAAAGTAAATATGGTTGTTTATTACATTATTTGCGATATACGTGTTAATATTCAAAGGAGATGGTACAGTGAAAGGTCAAAAAGAAAAAGAAAGGGAAGAAGAAAAATTGTTGGAGACGCCCGTGATGATGATGATGATATAATATATTGATGATGATCATGATCATGCTGACATCTGATTGAAAAAATGAGGGAGACATGCATTTAGATAGCATATAGTCTCAGCTACAAAATACTTAAAAATCAACAAAAACCAAGTGGAAATAACAGCGATATTACTCGCAAAAGAACGGAATGTAGAATCCAGATTTGAGAAAAGTCATCTCCCATATAGAGAAATTAAGAGAGAAATTATATAGACATGTACATGTAAACAATGATGATCATAATGATGATGAAGATGATGATCTTGATAGTAATGGTGATGATGATGATGATGATTATAATGATAATGTTAATGATGATGATGATGATGTTGATGATCATGCATGATCATGATCCTGATGATTTTGATGATGATATGATGATGATGATCATGATGGTATTGATGATGATCATCATGATAGTGATCGATGATGATCATTCATGAGCGTGATCCTGACATCTGATTGAAAAAATGAGGGGACATTTAGATAACATATAGTCTCAGCTACAACATACTCAAAAATCAACAAAAACCAAGCAGAAATAATGGCGATATTGCTCGCCAAAGACAGGAATGTAGAATCCAGATTTCAGACCATGATGATGATGATCATCATCATTAAGATAATGATGATCATGAGCGTGATCCTGACATCTGATTGAAAAAATGAGGGAACATTTAGATAACATATAGTCTCAGCTACAACATACTCAAAAATCAACAAAAACCAAGCAGAAATAATGGCGATATTGCTCGCAAAAGACAGGAATGTAGAATCCAGATTTCAGAAAAAGTCACCTTCGGTAGGCATGACACGCAAATTACGAAAATTCTGACATGTCGCATTTAATCGAAATTTTCACTATGATGACGTCATCAAAATGAAAAATGGTGAGATATAAATAAAGAGAAGGAAAGAGGAAGACGGTACGTTATAGTCATGTAAAAATACATGAGCTGGACAGAGGGATGAAAGATCGAGGAATCAGAAATGCGCATATCTTGGAAGGAGAGAGCTAGCGGGAGATCGAGGATAAGGAAATGGTGGTAGGTATACGCACGTGAAATAAGAATACAAAGCTAGCCAAAGCTAGGCAACGGAAAGAGCTAGAGAAAATTAAGGAGCAATGGAATAAGGCCAAATAAAAAAAAAAAAAATGTTTAGCGTCCTGTTTTTAGGAAAAATAGGAAGGGGGAGGCCCTTTTTTTTTTTTTTTTTTCTTTCAAAATGGCCGCTCAAAATGGCTGCTCGGTACATTTTCCCTGTCAGTCGGGCTACTTTTCAAGATGGCCGCCGACATTTTATGTTTTTTTTCTCTAAAAAAAAAAAAAAATCAAAAAAAATAAATAATAATAATCAAAAAAATAATAGGAGGCGGCCCCCAAAAAGGAAGCGGGCGGGGACGCTAAACATGTATATTCTTTTTACATGGCCTAAACGACAAGGTATCAGATATCCATTGTTTTGACATTCCTTTTCCCTTAAACACGCAAAATCATGCATTTCGTGAGAAATTATATGCGCGAGAAATATACTGGGCGAATTGTCTGTAGGGCGAATTTAATCTGACCAAGATTTTGGCCGATTCGAATTGCATGCACATTCTCATGATCATGGTCATATGAGTTCTGAGTACTGCTGTTTTATAGTTGTGCTGTTGTGCTGATTGCTAGCTTAGTTTTGGTAAGAATTCGGTTGTTGCTATTGTATTACTTTATCGTGAATCCTTTCTTATTAGTTTGTTGGAGATTTTGCGTTATCGCATAAGTGTGTGAGTGTATTTAAACTTTTAAAGGCATTGACTTTGTTTATAATATTATGTTTGCAGTTTTAGTACAAATCAAGTCTGAGATGCGATACATATTACGTATACCGTACATGTATATAGGGTCTGCGTGTTATCATATCAGCTCAGTGAGCTGAGTAGTGAGTGTGATTGTGATTGAATTTTGAAGCCCTACGAAAAACGAAAAGGAAGTGTTTCAAAAAAGTGAAAATCTTTGACTCAGTTTGACTTTGATTGACCGGTTTTACCATACTCATTTCCCCCAATAGAGTGTAGACCGTAGACCTGTCCTAGTCTAGATCTAGACCTAGTTCTAGATCTAGATCTAAGTCAGTGTTATAAATTAAAAACCGTAAGTCGGTAGGGATCTAGGCCTACTAGATCTAGATACTAGGCCTATATCTGACTATAGGCCTAGATCATAGATCTAGACTAGACCTAGATCTAGTCTAGATCTATTAATTTCTAATTCCAATCATAAATATCTTGATAGGCTAGTTGATAATTAGACAGGTCACAGCTGACAGGCGATCGGCTTGTAAAAGTCATGGGATAATAATTATCCCCTCGCCAAAGAAGGAGGGGATCTAGACCCCTGTATTATGCTACTCGCTGTCGAAGCCCGACCTTCCTTCTGTGTGCATTAACAAATCTGGTTTAAAATCAATAACTTTAGTAATGTTTGACGGATTTTAATGAAATTTGATATGAAGGTAAATGGTATAAAAACACCGCATAAGTTCAATTTCGGAGTAAGTAGGTCAAAGGTCATAGCTCATTAAATATGCGAATCTGGTTTCTGTTCGATAACTTTAGTAATATTTGATGGATTTTCATGAAATTCGATATGAAGGTACAGGGTATAAAAACGAGGCATAAGTTCAATTTCCGAGTATGTAGGTCAAAGGTCATGGCTCATTGAATATGCGAATCTGGTTTTTCGATCGATAACTTTAGTAATGTTTGACAGATTTTAATCAAATTTGATATGAAGGTACATGCTATCAAAATACAGCATAAGTTCAGTTTCGGAGTATGTAGGTCAAAGGTCATAGTTCATTAAATGTGCAAATCTGGTTTCTATTCGATAACTTTAGTAATGTTTGACGGATTTTAATGAAATTTGATAGGAAGGTACATGCTATCAAAATACAGCATAAGTTCAGTTTCGGAGTATGTAGGTCAAAGGTCATAGCTCATTAAATATGCGAATCTGGTTTCTGTTTGATAACTTTAGTATTATTTGATGGATTTTCATGAAATTCGATATGAAGGTACATAGTATAAAAACACAGCATAAGTTCAATTTCCGAGTATGTAGGTCAAAGGTCATGGCTCATTAAATATGCGAATCTGGTTTCCGATTGATAACTTTAGTAATGTTTGACAGATTTTAATCAAATTTGATATGAAGGTACATGCTATCAAAATACAGCATAAGTTCAGTTTCGAAGTATGTAGGTCAAAGGTCATAGTTCATTAAATGTGCAAATCTGGTTTCTATTCGATAACTTTAGTAATGTTTGACGGATTTTAATGAAATTTGATAGGAAGGTACATGCTATCAAAATACAGCATAAGTTCAGTTTCGGAGTATGTAGGTCAAAGGTCATAGCTCATTAAATATGCGAATCTGGTTTCTGTTTGATAACTTTAGTATTATTTGATGGATTTTCATGAAATTCGATATGAAGGTACATGGTATAAAAACACAGCATAAGTTCAATTTCGGAGTATGTAGGTCAAAGGTCATAGCTCATTAAATATGCGAATCTGGTTTCTGATATCGATAACTTTAGTAATGTTTGACGGATTTTAATCAAATTTGATATGAAAGTACATGGCATCAAAACATGGCCTTAGTTTGATTTCCCAGTATGTACCCTGCGAGGGGATGCTATGCTTTGCGTTGACTTGTTTTATTTATGTCATTTAGCATTATGAATGAGGGCTCATTATTTGTATTTATTGTAATATATTGATATTGGTATTTTATTAAATGTAATTTTTTGTTTTGTTTTGTTTGTATTTTAGGTTACTGAGAGTTGAAGAGAGAGTTGCAGAAAGTAAGTTGATATGCTTAGAAAGGCTGAAGTCAAGTAGTTTTTAAATTAAAGCTATGATGGAATGAAACAGATCCGCATAATTGGGAACAATTGAATGCAGAATACGAAAGCTATGGCTTTAAGAAATTTTCTATATAACTTTTTGACACTACCAAGTTACTTTTAATTATGTCAGTAAAGGTATAGACCAGTTTTGGAAAAGCCCCCCTCTCAAAAAATGAAATGGTACCTTTTTTTAACAATCATGTGAAAGAATATGTTTTGACTAATACCTGATGATACAAATTTTGATACTAATTGATATATTTGGTAAATTATTATATCTATCCGGAGTGGATAGATATCGCGCATGTGTCGCATAGTCCCATATACATCTTTCTGTGTACAGTGCTTGTAACTTTACCATGACTGGGTCAAATTTCTCATCATTTTGATGATCCAGAACCTTTCAGTACACACCAATACTTACCGAATATGCTAGATGATCAACCTTTTGTGATTGATTTCACAACGTTTTTTTCGCAATGCAATCGCATGACCAAAACTGGTCTTGAATGAGGGCTCACTATTTGTATTTATTTTTGTAATATATTCATATTGGTTTTTTATAAAATGCAATTGTTTTTTTCTTTTCTTTTTTTATTTCTAGTGCTTTTAATCAACAAATGTCAGTTTGATTAAAGAAATGACCCACACCAGACGGTTATTTCTGTCTATGACTCTCTATGTTTTGCTGGAGTGTGGGGTGGAGGGGGGGGGGGGGGGGGGGAGTCACAGGTTGAACATTGGCACATAGAGAGGTCAAAAGTCATTTGAGGTCAAGCGTTAAAGTTTACCTGCAACCTCAGCTACACTACAAACACAAACACATTTTACCTTCACACATGTAAAATATCAATGCAATAATTCTACTCGTATCAAAGGGGGAGGGAGTAGATGCAGTGGAAGCAGGTGAAAGGCAGTAGCATATCATGTAATACCCCTTCTCAAAGTTTATGGGATGTTGCATTCTATGGCAGATATTTTAAAATCAGCTTGCGATAGGCCCTACAATTCTTATAGATGGCAATGGACATTGCGATATTCTAGTTATTTTCACAAGTGGGCGAGACACAACATCGCTAATGCCTTGTTTAAACTGAAAAGTCATCCACAAAGTAGATGAGGTTTAGACATTGGTCAGTTAAAAATTTATGTTGTGCCACCACCCATGATAATGTCATTACAGAAATGGTACAATTTGAAACAGGAAAAGAGCTTAAAATGAAAATGCATTGAAGTACTGTACCTAAACAAAATATTGATATTAACATTATTTCTGAACTGTTGGTTCTTACAAAAGTTATTGATTTCGGTCTAAGTAGCAGTTTGGGATGTAATGTGGTGTTTGAATCTTTCCATTTCAGATTTGATAGATCTACTCTTACTGTTGGACAGTTACTGAGAGAGAAGCAAGGAGGCAGAGGTAAATTCAGCTCTTACTGTTGGACAGTTAGTGAGAGGGAAGCAGGGAGGAAGAGGTGAATAGAGCTCTTATTGTTGAACATTTACTGAGAGAGAAGCAAGGAGGCAGAGGTGAATAGAGCTCTTACTCTTGGACAGTTATTTAGAGAGAAGCAAGGAGGCAGAGGTAAATAGAGTTGTTACTGTTGGACAGTTATTGAGAGACGAGCAAGGAGGAAGAGGTGAATAGAGCTCTTACTGTTGGACAGTTACTGACACAGAAGCAAGGAGGCAGAGGTGAATAGAACTCTTACTGTTGGACAGTTAATGAGAGAGAAGCAAGGAGGCAGAGGTAAATAGAACTCTTATTGTTGGACAGTTACTGACACAGAAGCAAGGAGGCAGAGGTGAATAGAACTCTTACTGTTGGACAGTTAATGAGAGAGAAGCAAGGAGGCAGAGGTAAATAGAGTTGTTACTGTTGGACAGTTATTTAGAAGGAGGGGATCTAGACCCCTGTATTATGCTGCTCGCTGTCGAAGCCCTTCCTTGTGTGTGCCTTAAGTACAAATCTGGTTTAAAATCAATAACTTTAGAGTAATGTTTGACGGATTTTAATGAAATTTGATATGAAGGTAAATGGTATAAAAACACCGCATAAGTTCAATTTCAGAGTATGTAGGTCAAAGGTCATAGCTCATTAAATATGCGAATCTGGTTTCTGTTCGATAACTTTAGTAATATTTGATGGATTTTCATGAAATTCGATATGAAGGTACAGGGTATAAAAACGAGGCATAAGTTCAATTTCCGAGTATGTAGGTCAAAGGTCATGGCTCATTAAATATGCGAATCTGGTTTCCGATTGATAACTTTAGTAATGTTTGACAGATTTTAATCAAATTTGATATGAAGGTACATGCTATCAAAATACAGCATAAGTTCAGTTTCGGAGTATGTAGGTCAAAGGTCATAGTTCATTAAATGTGCAAATCTGGTTTCTATTCGATAACTTTAGTAATGTTTGACGGATTTTAATGAAATTTGATAGGAAGGTACATGCTATCAAAATACAGCATAAGTTCAGTTTCGGAGTATGTAGGTCAAAGGTCATAGCTCATTAAATATGCGAATCTGGTTTCTGTTTGATAACTTTAGTATTATTTGATGGATTTCATGAAATTCGATATGAAGGTACATGGTATAAAAACACAGCATAAGTTCAATTTCGGAGTATGTAGGTCAAAGGTCATAGCTCATTAAATATGCGAATCTGGTTTCTGATATCGATAACTTTAGTAATGTTTGACGGATTTTAATCAAATTTGATATGAAAGTACATGGCATCAAAACATGGCCTTAGTTTGATTTCCCAGTATGTACCCTGCGAGGGGATGCTATGCTTTGCGTTGACTTGTTTTATTTATGTCATTTAGCATTATGAATGAGGGCTCATTATTTGTATTTATTGTAATATATTGATATTGGTATTTTATTAAATGTAATTTTTTGTTTTGTTTTGTTTGTATTTTAGGTTACTGAGAGTTGAAGAGAGAGTTGCAGAAAGTAAGTTGATATGCTTAGAAAGGCTGAAGTCAAGTAGTTTTTAAATTAAAGCTATGATGGAATGAAACAGATCCGCATAATTGGGAACAATTGAATGCAGAATACGAAAGCTATGGCTTTAAGAAATTTTCTATATAACTTTTTGACACTACCAAGTTACTTTTAATTATGTCAGTAAAGGTATAGACCAGTTTTGGAAAAGCCCCCCTCTCAAAAAATGAAATGGTACCTTTTTTTAACAATCATGTGAAAGAATATGTTTTGACTAATAGCTGATGATACAAATTTTGATACTAATTGATATATTTGGTAAATTATTATATCTATCCGGAGTGGATAGATATTGCGCATGTGTCGCATAGTCCCATATACATCTTTCTGTGTACAGTGCTTGTAACTTTACCATGACTGGGTCAAATTTCTCATCATTTTGATGATCCAGAACCTTTCAGTACACACCAATACTTACCGTATATGCTAGATGATCAACCTTTTGTGATCGATTTCACAACGTTTTTTTCGCAATGCAATCGCATGACCAAAACTGGTCTTGAATGAGGGCTCACTATTTGTATTTATTTTTGTAATACATTCATATTGGTTTTTTATAAAATGCAATTGTTTTTTTTTTTCTTTTTTTATTTCTAGTGCTTTTAATCAACAAATGTCAGTTTGATTAAAGAAATGACCCACACCAGACGGTTATTTCTGTCTATGACTCTCTATGTTTTGCTGGAGTGTGGGGTGGAGGGGGGGGGGGGGGGGGAGTCACAGGTTGAACATTGGCACATAGAGAGGTCAAAAGTCATTTGAGGTCAAGCGTTAAAGTTTACCTGCAACCTCAGCTACACTACAAACACAAACACATTTTACCTTCACACATGTAAAATATCAATGCAATAATTCTACTCGTATCAAAGGGGGAGGGAGTAGATGCAGTGGAAGCAGGTGAAAGGCAGTAGCATATCATGTAATACCCCTTCTCAAAGTTTATGGGATGTTGCATTCTATGGCAGATATTTCAAAATCAGCTTGCGATAGGCCCTACAATTCTTATAGATGGCAATGGACATTGCGATATTCTAGTTATTTTCACAAGTGGGCGAGACAACATCGCTAATGCCTTGTTTTAACTGAAAAGTCATCCACAAAGTAGATGAGGTTTAGACATTGGTCAGTTAAAAATTTATGTTGTGCCACCACCCATGATAATGTCATTACAGAAATGGTACAATTTGAAACAGGAAAAGAGCTTAAAATGAAAATGCATTGAAGTACTGTACCTAAACAAAATATTGAAATTAACATTATTTCTGAACTGTTGGTTCTTACAAAAGTTATTGATTTCGGTCTAAGTAGCAGTTTGGGATGTAATGTGGTGTTTGAATCTTTCCATTTCAGATTTGATAGATCTACTCTTACTGTTGGACAGTTACTGAGAGAGAAGCAAGGAGGCAGAGGTAAATTCAGCTCTTACTGTTGGACAGTTAGTGAGAGGGAAGCAGGGAGGAAGAGGTGAATAGAGCTCTTATTGTTGAACATTTACTGAGAGAGAAGCAAGGAGGCAGAGGTGAATAGAGCTCTTACTCTTGGACAGTTATTTAGAGAGAAGCAAGGAGGCAGAGGTAAATAGAGTTGTTACTGTTGGACAGTTATTGAGAGACGAGCAAGGAGGAAGAGGTGAATAGAGCTCTTACTGTTGGACAGTTACTGACACAGAAGCAAGGAGGCAGAGGTGAATAGAACTCTTACTGTTGGACAGTTAATGAGAGAGAAGCAAGGAGGCAGAGGTAAATAGAACTCTTATTGTTGGACAGTTACTGACACAGAAGCAAGGAGGCAGAGGTGAATAGAACTCTTACTGTTGGACAGTTAATGAGAGAGAAGCAAGGAGGCAGAGGTAAATAGAGTTGTTACTGTTGGACAGTTATTGAGAGACAAGCAAGGAGGAATAGGTGAATAGAGCTGTTACTGTTGGACAGTTACTGAGACAGAAGCAAGGAGGCAGAGGTGAATAGAGCTCTTACTGTTGGACAGTTACTGACACAGAAGCAAGGAGGCAGAGGTGAACAGAACTCTTACTGTTGGACAGTTAATGAGAGAGAAGCAAGGAGGCAGAGGTAAATAGAACTCTTATTGTTGGACAGTTACTGACACAGAAGCAAGGAGGCAGAGGTGAATAGAACTCTTACTGTTGGACAGTTAATGAGAGAGAAGCAAGGAGGCAGAGGTAAATAGAGTTGTTACTGTTGGACAGTTATTGAGAGACAAGCAAGGAGGAAGAGGTGAATAGAGCTGTTACTGTTGGACAGTTACTGAGACAGAAGCAAGGAGGCAGAGGTGAATAGAGCTCTTACTGTTGGACAGTTGATGAGAGAGAAGCAAGGAGGCAGAGGTAAATAGAGTTGTTACTGTTGGACAGTTATTGAGAGACAAGCAAGGAGGAAGAGGTGAATAGAGCTGTTACTGTTGGACAGTTACTGAGACAGAAGCAAGGAGGCAGAGGTGAATAGAGCTCTTACTGTTGGACAGTTACTGACACAGAAGCAAGGAGGCAGAGGTGAATAGAACTCTTACTGTTGGACAGTTAATGAGAGAGAAGCAAGGAGGCAGAGGTAAATAGAACTCTTATTGTTGGACAGTTACTGACACAGAAGCAAGGAGGCAGAGGTGAATAGAACTCTTACTGTTGGACAGTTAATGAGAGAGAAGGAAGGAGGCAGAGGTAAATAGAGTTGTTACTGTTGGACAGTTATTGAGATGGATATGATATATTTAAGTGTAATTTGGGACTCGGGTTCTGGTTATTTATAGGGAAAGAACCATTAGTAATTACCATAGTAACATTGCTCGATAGCTTATCAAAATCAAGAAATCAATGGTATTTACTATAGTAAACTATAGTAACTATAGTAAACTTCCCGCGGGAAACTGCCAAAAAAAATAAACGGTCAACAGGGTTGTGAACGCAAATGAACACGCTCCATTTGAAATTGCCATGACCGCCACAACAAATTTAACATGTTTAATTTTTGAAGCGGTTCCTGGCAGTATGCACAGATCACTCCGGATTAGGGCTGTAGTATTCCAAAAACGGTTATCCTCCCTCCGAATCCGTTTGGTTTTCGGTTAACCTATACCGAATTGTGAGACATAATTTTAATCTGATATGTATCAATTTGCTTGGATTAAACACCAAAGTGTTTATTTTCTTTAGTGGTACAAGGGTTTTGTAGTACTATCAGCCTAATTTCATTCATTTTCTTTGAAAATGTGATTGAACAATAATGATTTTTTTTTTCAAGGGGGGGGTTTTAACATTTATAAATCGGCCCGAAAAATCGCAACGACTCAGCCGACCGCTGAATAAGCGGGGGGGGGGGGGGGGGGGGGGGGGGGGGGGGTAAGAGGACACTTTTTTTTTTTTTTTGTGGTCTCAATATTTGAAAATCTGACATTTTGCTCCGTTGGGGGGGGGGGGTAAGGTCACCTTTTTTAGGTCAGCCATGAAAATATTTTTTTTTTAATAAAAAAAAAAAAAAAAAAAAATCCAAAGGGGGGTGTTTGGGGGGGATTACGGGGGGGTTTACACATATAAAAATACCAAAGGGGGGGGGGGCGGGTGTAACCCCTCAAACACACCCCCCCCCCCTGTGTACGCGCCTGATCTCTGCAAACTATGGTAATTGTATCCCCCGGCAGTATGTCGGTGGGGTACTTTTGATTCAGCAGCGTTACGCCGCCCCGTCATCTTGTGTGCGCTCTAACTGCCACATTTCTTTACAGATATCTTTCAAATTTTGTATGGAGGTGTATCTTGGTATAATCTACACACCTATAACTTTTGGTGATGCTGCCCCCTGTGTTCCGTCTTCTATAGGGTAAAAGGCCATATTTTATTCTTGTGTGCGCTCTAACTGCCACATTTCTTGACTAATTTCTTTCAAATTTTGTATGGAGGTGTATCTTGGTATAATCTACACACCTATAACTTTTGTTGATGCTGCCCCCAGTGTTCGGTCTTCTATAGGGTAAAAAGCCATATTTTATTCTTGTGTGCGCACTAACTGCCACATTTCTTGACAGATTTCTTTCAAATTTTGTATGGAGATGTATCTTGGTATAATCTACACACCTATAACTTTTGGTGGTGCTGCTGCCCTCAGTGTTCCGTCTTCTATAGGTTAAATGGCCATATTCTTTTGGATGGTTTGGGTGTGCTCTATGGGCCTCATTTTTCAAGGGATTTTGTTCAAATTTTTAACAAAGGTGTATCTCGGTAGAATCTACAAGCCTATAGATTTTTGTGATGCTGCCTCCAGTGTTCCGCTTTTATAGGGTCAAAGGTCATACTTTGATAGATGTCTTTGTGGCACTGTAGTTTGCGGTCTAATTGCATCATTACTTAACAGATTTCTTTCAAATTTTGTATGGAGATGTATCTTGGTATAATCTACACACCTATAACTTGTGGTGGTGCTGCCCTCAGTGTTCCGTCTTCTATAGGTTAAATGGCCATATTCTTTTGGATGGTTTGTGTGTGCTCTATGGGCCTCATTTTTCAAGAGATTTTGTTCAAATTTTCAACAAAGGTGTATCTTGGTATAATCTACACATCTACTCTTTTGGGCAATGCTGCCCTCATTTTTCTGTCTTTTATATGGTCAAAGTTTATATATGTCTTTTATGCGCTCTAACTGCCACATTTTTTGACAGATTTCTTTCATATGTATGATGGAGGTGTGTCTGAGTACGATCTACACATCGTTCGTGTTTGGTGATGCTGCCACCTGTGTTCCGTCTGTTATAGGGTCAAAGGTCATAGTTTGGTGGATGTCTTTTGTGCGCTCTAACTGCCACATTTCTTGACAGATTTCTTTCAAATTTTCTACAGAGATGCATTATACTTAATCTACACGTATATTGTTTTGATGATGCTGCTCCTAGTCTTGACAATAGTCTGAGCCACAATTGGCGGTCTCTACGTCATCCTTTTGATTCAGGGAGGGGGGGAGAGGGGATCTTTGTCCCTCCTTCGACCATAAGGATGACACAAAATCGCTGCCACTGCCGGGGGATACATTCGCATTGCGCGTCAATACAGATTGCGATATTTCTAGTTACCATAGTTACAGTGCTTGATAGCTAATAAAAATCAAGAAATCAATGGTATTTACCATAATTTGCAGAGATAGCATTAATTGTAAAGATACGATAGTTTTATGCAATGGGGTCGTGATGGTTGATATGTATGACATACTGAGTTGTTATAATGAGGTTGCACTGTATTATGAAATAATAATAATAATCTGTTTTTTTATATAGCGCTCAATACACCGATCCAACAATGTGCCTAAGCGCTTTACAGATATATTATTACCCCGGTCATCGGATTCAGGCTTACCCGCACACAATGTGTGCACATTTTCGCAACGACTCAGCCAGCCGCTGAATAAGCAGGGGGGGGGGGGGGGGGGGGGGGGGTAAGAGGACACTTGTTTTTTTTTGTGGTCCCCAAAAAATCCCAACGATTCAGCCAACCGCTGAATAAGCGGGGAGGGGGGGGGGGGGGGGGGGGGGGTAAGAGGTCACTTTTTTTTTTTTTTTTTGTTCCCCAAAAAACGCAACGACTCAGCCAACCGCTGAATAAGCAAGGGGGGGGGGGGGGGGGTAAGAGGACACTTTTTTTTGGGGGGGGGGGGGGTCTCGAAATTTGAAAATTTGACATTTGGCTCCGTTGGGGGGGGGGGGGTTACAGCCATGGGAATAATTTTTTTTTTTTTTTTTTTTTTATAATTAAAAAAAAAAACGAAAGGGGGGGGGGGGTTGGGGGGTTTACACACATAAAAATACCAAAGGGGGGGGGGGGGGTTTAACCCCCCAAACCCTCCCCCCCCCCCCCCCCCCCTGTGTAAGCGCCTGAATACGGTGTTAATGCCTAAAGCCCCATTTACACATTGACAATTGAAACGGCAATTTATGGCAGTTTTACATTCCTCCATGGTCAACGAGCAATGCCTAAAGCCCCATTTACACATTGACAATTGAAACGGCAATTTATGGCAGTTTTACATTCCACCATGGTCAACGAGCATTGACTAAAGCCCCATTTACACTTTGACAATTAAAACAGCAATTTATGGCAGTTGTACATTCCGCCATGGTCCACGAGCAATGCGTAAAGCCCCATTTACACATTGACAATTGAAACGGCAATTTATGGCAGTTGTACATTCCGTCATGGTCAACGAACAACGTGTTGACACATTAGTTGGGTTGACACAGTACTTGCTCAACTTAAGAATTAGGTTGAAAACTTAATCATCTACGATTAGGTTGCTAATCATCAATGATTAGTGCCGTATAGATGCACTAAAAAATTAGCAATTTTTAAGTTTAGTTGAAAAATCAGACTCCAAAATTTCTTAGAGTTTACGCTCAATTCACGAGCAGCGGGGGGTCCGCAGTCTATCATTAGGGACCTTTAGATTGAGTGGACGAGAACACGAGGAACGCCGACTGATCATGCGTGTCAACTACTTAACTGCCCATGTTGACTACAATTAGAAATCTTTTAGATTGCACTCGACGATATACATGCATGTAGGAAGTAATACTATGAACATCACGGACAAAGAAAGAAGATAAAATATACAGTTCCTCATTTTACCCTCAACAGAAGAACATCCCTTCACTGCTATTATGTAAAAATGTGTAGAACAGGTGACTATGCATGTGACACCTGTTCTACACATTTTTACATAATAGCAGGGAAGGGATGTTCCTTTGTCTACCTGAGGAACTGTATATTTTATGCGCACGCGGCATACTAGTACCTTGAGCATGTAAAGGCGCTATAAAAATACCAATATGTATGTATGTATGTACTAGATTTAGGAAAATCAAGGTTGACGCATTCTCGATCGCCGACTGAGACGACGTAACGCATGCGCAGTGCCTTGAAATGACGTCACACGTTGCAGTCAAAGCTGTAGACGTGCAAATCTAAAAGTCCCTATTATCCCGTGTGGACGTAATTTAATCAATGAGCTCCACGATTAGCGTGACCTCTCCGTCAACCCTCTGTGCGTCCCTGTAGCTGGGATTATCTCGGCACTTCCGGCCAATGATTGATTGGGAGGGTTGCTTAAAAACTTAATCTTAAACATAAGTTTTCGTGTGGACGCTCATTATTTATGGGGTAAGCTCTTATTGATGATTAGCAATTGTCGATGATTAGGTACTGTTTAAATGTAACTATTGTAGGACATTAGAGGCCTGCTGTTGTGGAGGAACGTGGGACAGATTTATTGCTTTAAAGGTAGGCGTGAATTAGATCTCTAAATTTGAATCTTACAACAACAAAAAACAAAAAAATGTTATACAATTTTGATAATAGCTAGGTAGCTTCCAAAGAATGAATGGAATCTTGATACATATTTGTACTGCCTTCATGCTATCTGAAAGAAAAGTATCAGGTTGGATAATTAATGTAGGTGACCTTTGGGAAAAATCAATTCTAGCATATTAATTTAGCATGAAAAGTGCATACGGTAAGTAGTGTTTTGTCAAGCCCAGGGCCCCGTTGCATAAAACTATTGTATCTTAACAATTTATGGTATCTGTGCAAACTATGGTTATTACCATAGCAACACTGCTTGATAGCTAATCAAAATCAAGAAATCAATGGTATTTACCATAGTTTGCAGAGATACCATTAATTGTAAAGATACAATAGTTTTATGCAATGGGGCCTTGATGGTCGATATGTATGAAATACTAAATTGTTATAATGAGGTTGGACTGTATTATGAAATGTTTGAGTGACATCAAAGTATGCAAATTAGTTGTTACCAAAGTTGAATTTGTGATGGAATCTAACTTGGTTTTATTCATTTTTTTGTATTGTATATTTTTGTCATGTTTTACTTGTATTTTTCATTTTTTGTTTTGATGACAGGTGCCATCTGCCATTTGGACTTTGACTGAATAAAGTTTTTGGAGTGTAGGTATACCGAGTGTCTGAAACAAAAGTTGACACTTTTGAATATTCTGCCAAATAAAAAATGTGAAACATTTTTGAGAAATTGTCATATGTATGGATGGTTGAAGCTCTCGTCTATCATATGGCAATAACAAATCTAATAATAATTGTTTCTTGGGTAAGCACTGGCCACTTTTGTAAAGGGTATGAAAATTAGGTTGCGCAAGATTTGGCTGAGCGAGAAGTCCCCCAGCATAACAATTGTTAATGGTCTGTTCAATTTATGATTAATTACGATGGATATGGGTTTGGGCTGTGTATGATGTGTCCCACCTCTTGCCCCACCCCACCCAACTACATTTAAAGGAGAATGAAACCCTGATTTTTAGTCTTAGGCCAAAAAAAAAAAATTGTTCGGTTGTCCTCGATTGCTTTTCTAGAGTAGGGGCGGGCGGGCGGATTTTTTTTTTTTTTTTTTTTTTTTTTTAAATTCATTTTTTGTGTGTTTTTTTTTTTTTATTTTTTTTTTTTTTTTTTTTCTTTGAAATACAGCACCTTTTAAATCTCCATTGTACTACTTATAGCTACTTGCGCCCTCTTTGTAGCAAACAATGCCTAATCGGTGACCATTGGTCCCCATGATCCTCTTTATCTTATATTAACTGAGAGCTGATTTGATGAGATAACCACCTGTCCAGTGACCTTGCAGGGTGGTCTAATCCCTCCTGTAAACTAGTACAGATGGGGTTTAAAATGAGTTTAAGATTTGAATGAACGGCATTTTGACATAGAAAAATAAAAATGGCAAGTTTAATAAATACCTAATTGCGTACTGAAAAGATCAAACTGGCAACGGGACGCATTTTGATCCTTGCAAATGCATAAAATGGTATGTTTGGCATTTAAGATTGCCCCCCCCCCCCCCCCCCCCCCCCCAAAAAAAAAAAAAAATGAAAAAAAAAAAATGAAAAAATGAAAAAAAAGAAAACAAAATTGAATTAAAAAAAAAAAAATACGAGCGGCCCGAAAATGACGAGCGGGCGGTCGAGGACAACCAAACAACTTTTTTTTTTTGGCCTTATTGTGTTAATCAAAAGTTAAATAATTATTATTCAGGTACAGAAATTATGCTTGCACAACAACTGCAAGCGAAACCAGAGCCGCATGAAGATCCCCTACTATGCGGTTGTCTGCTTCAACAGGAGGTTCCACTGTACTAAAAAAAAAAAAAAAATTCATGAGGTCATTTTGCTGGTCTCAACTATTTTTATTTCTTTGGGTTTTTTTGGGGCTAATATAACAAGGTAATTTTTATGGTCCCAAGGGCTTTGTTATAATGAGATTTTACTGTATATCAAAACAAGCGTTGTGTATATCAAAACATTTAAAATGGGCCTAAATTATACTGCCCTACTTTGGCAAAAGGAAGCAAGTGACATACCATCTAAATTTGAGTTATTTATGTTTTTATATCTGCAAATGACAGACACATTTTGTTTCTTTACAAGACATTTCACGACTCACGACAATAAGCCTCTAGCACTCTAAAGCTAGTTGGTGAGTCAAAGAAGAGTTGTGGTATACAACACCTTGTCTGTGTGCGGGCAACTCACGACAATAACCCTAGCACTCTTAAGCTAGTTGGTGAGTCAAAGAAGAGTTGTGGTGGACAGTCAGGGAAAGTCTGTGTACGGGAAACTCACGACAATAAGCCTCTAGCACTCTAAAGCTAGTTGGTGAGACAAAGAAGAGTTGTGGTAGACAGCACCTTGTCTGTGTGCGGGCAACTCACGACAATAAGCCTCTAGCACTCTTAAGCTAGTTGGTGAGTCAAAGAAGAGTTGTGGTAGACAGTCAGGGAAAGTCTGTGTGCGGGCAACTCACGTCCATAAGCTTCTAGCACTCTAAAGCTAGTTGGTGAGTCAAAGAAGAGTTGTGGTAGACAGCACCTTGTCTGTGTGCGGGCAACTCACGACAATAAGCCTCTAGCACTCTTAAGCTAGTTGGTGAGTCAAAGAAGAGTTGTGGTAGACAGTCAGGGAAGTCTGTGTGCGGGCAACTCACGACAATAAGCCTCTAGCATTGTGGTAGACAGCAAAACATTTTACAGCTTTGACAATATTTACGACTTGAACTTTGAACTTTTGTCACTTGCTTCCTTTTGCCAAAGTAGGACAGTATAATCTAATACAATACATATGCTATCAACTTTTTTTCTTGTGTTTCTCTTTGACAGGTACTGGTTGAAGCAGATTTCATTATCATCTCCATCTCATCTCATACCATCTCATCTCATACCATTTCATCTTCACCCACAAAACTCATAATCTTGAGTTTTTGAGAAAAGCACTCATTCAAACCTTCATCTATCATAAAGTCTGTGTGCGGGCAACTCACGACAATAACCCTAGCACTCTTAAGCTTTGGTGAGTCAAAGAAGAGTTGTGGTATACAGCACCTTGTCTGTGTGCGGGCAACTCACGACAATAACCCTAGCACTCTTAAGCTTTGGTGAGTCAAAGAAGAGTTGTGGTAGACAGTCAGGGAAAGTCTGTTTGCGGGCAATTCACGACAATAAGCCTCTAGCACTCTTAAGCTAGGTTGGTGAGTCAAAGAAGAGTTGTGGTAGACAGCAACTTGTCTGTGTGCGGGCAACTCACGACAATAACCCTAGCACTCTTAAGCTTTGGTGAGTCAAAGAAGAGTTGTGGTAGACAGTCAGGAAATTTTACAATTTTGAACATATTGACGAATTTACGAACTTGAACATTTGAATCCTTCATTATCTTACTCTATCTACTCAATCTGAATCTTCATTATCTTACTCTGTCTACTCAATCTGAATCTTTATTATCTTACTCTATCTACTCAATCTGAATCTTCATTATCTTACTCTATCTACTCAATCTGAATCTTCATTATCTTACTCTTTCTACTCAATCTGAATCTTCATTATCTTACTCTATCTACTCAATCTGAATCTTCATTATCTTACTCTGTCTACTCAATCTGAATCTTTATTATCTTACTCTATCTACTCAATCTGAATCTTCATTATCTTACTCTATCTACTCAATCTGAATCTTCATTATCTTACTCTATCTACTCAATCTGAATCTTTATTATCTTACTCTATCTACTCAATCTGAATCTTCATTATCTTACTCTGTCTTACTGAAACTCAATCTTGATCTTACTCTGTCTTTCTGAAATTGAATCTTCAATTTCTGTGTTGTGTTGCTCAAACTGTGTGAAATTGTGTGAAAACTAGAAAATAAGATACGAAACGAGATTTGACAAGAGTGTTAATAAACAATAAAGAGAAGAAAATTTCTTTTTGAGTTGATTTTTAGTGAAAGAAATAAAGCTGACTGGTTGATTGCTTGTTTAAGATATTGGAGAAAATTGTTAGTGTATAGAGAAAAAAAAGTGAATTGATTGAATAACTGAATTGTTAGAAATTGATTGTGAGAGATAGAGATATTTTTGATTGGTTGGTTGATTGAGTGATTTGATAAAAGTGAAATTCGTGAATATTACCTTTAGCATATAAGGTTGAATATAGAAACATAACTTTAAGACCAACAAGAGTGTTAATAAACAATAAATAAAAGAAAATTTCTTTTTTGAGTTGATTTTTAGTGAAAGAAATAAAGTTGACTGGTTGATTGCTTGTTTAAGATATTGGAGAAAATTGTACAGAGAAAAAAAAGTGTATTGATTGAATAACTGAATTGGTAGAAATCGATTGTGAGAGAGATATTTTTGATTGGTTGGTTGATTGAGTGATTGATAAAAGTAAAATTTGTGAATATTACCTCTAGCATATAAGGTTGAATTTAGAAACATAACTTTAAGACCAACTAAGGCAAAACTAGAACACTTCGTACTAGCAGAGAGAAAGTAGAGGAATTACACGATAAAAATAACAGAACACAGAAATTTATTTTAAAGAGCGCCATCTTGAGGCAAAAACAATACTTCCAAACACATCGTAAACAGAAATTTAGTTACATCGAGGTATTAATTTATTTTGGTCTTTACTGAGACGACGGTTTGAAGAACACATTCTACTTTTGTATTGATATAGGGTTGTATAAAAGTGTTGATTGATAAAGAAAGAAATTTGTGTCTGGATATAGGCTCCTGTAGTGTTCATAGCTTTAGTATTATAAGTAAGCCGATTGCAGAGAGGTTGAGAACGAACATTGTATCGGGATATAAATATAGTTTTATAAATATAAATCGGCTTGATCGATTAGAAAGATAAGAAAAATATTTAAATTAGGATATAAAGTGGACTTTTTTTACACAGAGTTTTAATACAGATTGTTGTTAATAGAGCGCCATCACAAGGCAAATTAATATAATAAAGAGAAATTCCGTCACGATCAATACCTTCTAGATTAATATTTAACACAATTGCCGAAGAGCGCCATCTTTTGTTGAAAGCTATATATTTTTCTAGGCATTAATTTTCATTTTTGTTAAAAGGAAATAATTCCAAGAAGGAATACAGTATTGACAAGATATTGCATTGTCTATTATACAAAATACAACATACATTGACCTATAATCCATACATTTAACTTTAAAAAATAAAGAAATCCCCCAAAAGCAAACACTTTGAACAGCAAATCAAAGACCATTACAAGGCAATTTGAGGTGATCAAGACATTACAGCTCGAATAGAAGGCTTCCTCTAAAGGAGTTTTTATCTTGAAACAAAAACATAATAGTCTGTATATAGTTCAGGCTTTGATATACACTGAATTTCAGTAAAGATTTTGAATTGATATTGACAACAGTGATACTTCAAATTACAATTGTGCATCATAATTTGAATACAGATACACTGTATAAGATAATTTGGAACGGAAAACCTTGTCTTGGCAAAAAAGCAAAAGGGCAGTTGTAATCTTATAGTTCAAAGCTTTGTACGAAATATTTTGTGATGGAGGAATACACTGATACATGTTGTGTTTGTAAGAATTTAATTGGAGAGGATGAGATTACTGTAACTTGCAAGTCATGTACTGGTCCCTATCATGTTACTTGTATGGGTTTTCCATGTAAGGAGACAATCAATGACACAAATGATAGAAGATGATAGACACTACTGAATTCAAGACAGTTGTTGATGAAATCTTAGATGTACTGTCTACTTGTGCACCGCTGATGAATTCAGAGTTTGATGCATGCTGCATATGTGAAAGTGAGATCGGAAATGACATAAGTTCACTTTGTGAGTTTTGCAATAGTCATTTCATGTTTCATGTATGCAACTGCCCTGTGAAGACAAACTGAATGATAGGAGATTGATTTGGATTTGTTCTTTGTGTGGAAATAACAACATCGCTCATCGCATGTTTGATCAAGTATGTATCCCTTCTCATTTCAATAGATACGAACTTCTTGGTGATCATGATGAACACTGTTACTTGGATTTGAACCAATCAAGGACCCTATCAAGTACGACCAACAAAAGAAAATGTGGCAGATCAAAGAAGAGGTATGGTAAAAAGGGAAAAAAAAACAATCGATTGAGAGGAACACAACATAACATATAACTGACAGGAAAACAAATGAGTCTGATAGACATAATCCTTTGGCTATGGAAAATCCATCCCAAATAGAACACGAAGAGATGCAAAATGAAAAATTTGAGGATGACTGGGTAATTGTGAAATCAAGGAAGACGAAATGGGTGGAGAAACTAAAATCAAGAAAATTGTATCCCAAATCAATAGATGATCATCAAACAGACAGGAAAATCAGAAGAAAATCAGTGAATGGTGTAGTCTTGGAACCAGGTGTGACTTACATTGGCAAAGCAATGAAGACATTCTATGAAAGTCATGAGAAAAAAAATGGAAACCGAAAGAAAAATGTATGTAAGGAAAACAAGAATGTGAAAAGAGAAGATGTCAGTTTGCAGTCTTATGTAGAAACTCTTTTGGCTATATATGCATACAGTGTGCAATCCCCATGTTCAATGAAATTGTACAGTGAGACCTGTGTGCAAATTGAAACGATGCAGACACGATCTTGGGCTGACGTAGCAGGTTATTTGCCATCTCGATCAAGAACAGATTCATGTGTTGATATTCATGCCTGCACTCGTAATCTTTTTGAACAGATCAAGGATTTCCGAATGTACAGAGTTCATGCTGGTGGCAAGAGAAAAGAAGCAAAGACAAGAAAGGTCGAGCAAGGAACAAGAAAGGTCAGTCTTCCAAAGCCGGGAAAAAAGGCACTGATGGAAATCACTCTTCTGATAAATCAGAGATTAGATTTGACAAAGATGAAGGAATAGAATTAGCAGTAAAGAATGAGAAGCTGGATACAAAGAAATCTATGAATGCAAGTGACCAAGGCCTTGATCCAAATACATGTAAAAATGATGAACACTCAGACCAGCATATTTGCAATATGAAAGACAACAAAGGTTCAGATGGAGTTGTGCAGGACGATTCAAAGAATAATCTGTTGAAATCAAATTTTGATGAAAATAGGGAAATTGAAACAGACGATGATAGTGGCAGTGATGTTCACATACCAGTGAAACGTTCGTGTGCAAGAAATTGTTTAGAATCTGATAGTGATACAGACACAAGTCCTGGATGTGATTTATTCGATAGAAGTGTTTTACCACAACGCAATATGCCTTTGAATGTTAGTGATAGACCAAAAGATATGCCCATAAATGAACCAGTAGACAATGTCTGTGAATCGGTATTGGAAAATGATGATATGATGAAAAATGATTTTTCAGATGTTTCAGATGGTGTACAAGAAGATGCAGTGTTTGACAATGACCTGAAGAATAGAAGCTTTGATACAGTAAAAGATGGTACAGACAATGATACTGATATGTCATTTAATGATCATGCTCATTCAAGGAATCCTTTAGAATCTTCTTCAGATTCAAATATCAAAGATGAAGACATTGAAAAGGCAATAGATGCTAATATGTACACATGTACTGATGAAACAGAAACAGAAGTTGAATTTGTAGCAGATCTTGGATTACGTGATAGACCTGATAAAGATTTCAAATTTGTACCCCTCCAGAATAATGACAAACAGAACATTTGTTCAAAACTGAATATCAGATATATAGGCAAAGGCTGTGATTCAAGGTTAGATAGAAATAGCTCTATTGGAGTTCCTTTACAGAGTAAACAAATTACTGGTGATGGCAATTGTTTCTTTCGTGCAATTTCCTATGTAATTTCTGGAACTGAGCATAATCATGCAATTTTAAGAAATGCCACTGTGAAACATTTATTGCAAACCAAGGACATGTTTAGTAATACATTGAGGCAAGAATATAGAACAGTCAGAGAATATGTTTTGAAACGTAGAATAAAGGAAGACGGAACGTGGGCTACAGACACTGAAATTAGCGCTTTAGCAAATTTAATCGATACTGATATTTATTCATACAATGACCAAGTACCATGTTGGCAATTGTTCTCTGCAAAGAAACCTGGAAGAATAAATATTGTAACATCTGATAAGGGAATTTATATACTGTACACAGGAAATGTTCATTTTAATGTTGTTGAATCTGTAGATTTTGTCAATTTCAATTCATTGGAACAGACAAGAACAACTAAAGAAGATAGAACGTCAAAGAGAACTTTGCCATGTCCATCAATTCAGGCTGATGTTAAAGTAAAGCATGTGTTCAAGAAGTGTAGATCCAAGTCGCAGATAGAGGAAGAAATTGATGAAGTAGTGGATAAGTCTCCTGAAACATTTCAAAACCATGTTGATCCAAAGGGAAAAAAACGTAGGCTCACGTTGGAGACTGGTACGATAAATCACGATGAGAGGAAAGGTACTGCAAATCTTTTTGACATGACATATGAACAGTGTGCAAGTAATCAGTCTGAATCAGTCGTTCACAACGAACGTAACACCAAGGACGAAACCCTTAAAAGTGATCACAAAGACAAATGCACGAGAGTCGATACACAAATAACGCTTGTTGCCCAAGGGACATTCAATCAAGGTGATACAAGATTTGGTGACTTAAGTGGAAAGCAGTGTGTTACCAATTCACTTTCTGCACTGTTGTATAGCAAGGTAAAAAATGTCAATGATTGGAAAAGTACAGATCTAGACAGGATTTTGAATAACGGTAATGAATTATACTGTTACATACGGCGATCCACTTCACTCGACAACCAATACTTATTGATATCTGATCTATTTGAATATTTGGATGCGTACAATGAATTGTTTAACATAGTACGCCGTGAACCAGTCACTGGATTGTTAGATGGAGATGAATTGATATTGGCCCAGTCTCTTTCGATGACATTGAAGCAAGCACTCGAAAAAGAACTCTGTACTGATTCTGATGCATGTTTTGTGACATTTGCTAGAAGTACTTTCATTGTATTATCTGGTCAAGATGGTTTCTTTATATTTGATTCACATTCCAGAAGCAGTCGAGGTTCCTGAGTTGTAACGGACACAGTGTTGTACTTCGTACTCAAAGCTGGCAAGGTGTGTACAAGCATTGCATGAGGTTAGCAAAATCAATGGGATGCCCCCTGCACACCGAATATGAAGTAACTAGTGTATGTGCTAAAGCAACTTCCGGTAAGAATGAAACCTTGAAAGGCTATCCACAGTTACAGGATTTTGTTTGTAATCCAATTCCTTCGTCAAATACGCACAGTGAAAGTCAGTCTGGAAGCTCTGGATGTTCCATACATTGTGAAAGCTTTGATGAAGTTCAAATATTGGATGAGAGTGTTTCCCCACAAAAGATGATTGATAACCCAAATGTATTTCTCTTCCCTGAAGAAGCAAATGAAACAATCATTCATGATGTACATTATAACGGTCAGCACCCACAAAAGATGATTGATAACCAAATGTATTTCTCTTCCCTGAAGAAGCAAATGAAACAATCATTCATGATGTACATTATAACGGTCAGGAATTGAAACTGAAGAGTGTGACAATTGGCTTAACCAAATTAAAAGAATCCCAGCTAAATAATAGTTGTCTTTGAACGGAAATGACTCTATAAATACAGAATATGAAAATGAACAAAAAGGAGATTCCAAAAATTGTACTAAATCGGGAATGACTCTGATAGATTAAATTTAGTGAACAAAGTTCAGAATTCCAACTCTATCTTAAGCAGAAAACGAAAATGGAGTAACCTCGAAAGCGATGCAAACGTTGATGTCGACCTTGGCAAGGAAATTCGAAAAACCAAATTGCTAAAAATGAATGAGAACGACAGCTTAAGAATTGATGCAAGCGAATGTGCTGATAGTCATGATGAATTAATAGTAATTGGAGAAGTTCATGTTAGAAATGTAGACCATGGAAAGAAAAAACGTAAAAATAGACAAAGTTCTAATCAAAAAAGGAAGCGCATGAGACAGCAAATGAGAGAAAAAACGAGCCCTGGCCAAAGATGAAATCATTAAGAAAAAGGAAAAGTGTATTCACAATGCGCAAATGAAAAAAATTAAAATGAAAAATAAATATCAAAATGATTTAACCTACAAAATAGAAAAAATAAATGAAGTAAAAAAAGGCAAAAAGAAATGTATGAAGAGGATTCAAATTTCAGGAACATACAGCTAAATATATGATGAAAACCAAATATCATTTTGATTCACGTTATAAAAAGAAAATTTTTGTATGGAAATAAACAAAAAATATTGAGAAATGAAGGATTCAAAGAAAATGTTAAAACAGCTATGAGGATTAAAATGAAAAATAGATATTGGAACGATGAACTATTTAAACGAATGCACAAGAGTAGAATAAGAAGTAAATACCAGCATGATGAACTATTAAACGAATGCACAAGAGGAGATAAGAAGTAAATACCAGCATGATGAACTATTTAAACGAATGCACAAGAGTAGAGTAAGAAGTAAATACAGCATGATGAAATATTTAACGAATGCATAAAAGCAAATTAAGAAGTAAATATTTGAACAACAAACATTTAAGAAAAAACAACAAGATATCATGAAAAAACGAATAAAGGAATTATATCGCAACGATGAAAATTTTAAGAAAAAACAACAAGATATCATGAAAAAAGAATAAAGGATATATATCGCAACAATGAAAATTTTAAGAAAAACAACAAGATATCATGAAAAAACGAATAAGGAATTATATCGCAACGATGAAAATTTTAGGAAAACAACAAGATATCATGAAAAAAACAAATGAAGAAATTATATTGCAACGATCAGCAATTTAAACATACAAAAAAGGCAAATATGAAAACATTGTCCAAAATTAGATATAAAGGCAACGAATTTAAGGAAAAGAAATTGATGAGCTTAAAAATGAAATATAAAAGAATTGAAAAAATAGGCAAAATGTAATAAAACAAAATCGAAAAAGGTCTGTACTTCGAACGGTAAAAATTGTCCGAGTTTGATATTGTACTTGAAGAATTTAGAAAGATAATTTCTCATGGCCCAGAATATGTGTGCTGTGTATGCTTAAAACTTCTCTTTGAGAACCAAGTATTGAAATGTAAAAAGAGTAATTATAAAAATTCAGACATGCATAAGTGAAGAATATTTGCATGTTTGCAATTCAGAATGCCGGTTCAAAAATGTTTAATAGGCCAGTCAGCCAGATCGTCACTATGGATATGCTTCACCTGTCATAGAAAATTGCAAGCTGGAAAAGTACCTGCAGAAGCAAATATGAACAATTTACAACTACATGAAGTTCCAAAAGAACTTGCCAATCTGAACAATTTAGAACAGCATTTGATTGCATTGAATATCCTTTCATGAAGTTAATGGCCTTGCCTAAAGGTGGTCAAAATGG